ATGGTGGTGTACGTGGATGACATCCTCATCTTCTCACCCTCCTCTGACCTTGTGAAGGAGGTGATGCTGAAGCTGCAAGACAAATTCAAGTGCAAGTCCCTTGGGGACGTGAATTTCTACCTTGGGCTCCACATCGAACGAGACGTGGAGAAGCGGTGCATGCGGGTGCACCAACGGAAGTACCTGGAGGCATTGGCTGCCAACTTTGGGCAGAATGAAGGCCATGTGGCTACACCCTTTCCCTCTGGGTTCAAGTGTGTGAAGGGACCAGAGGAGGAGAGCGTGGGTGAAGAGGAGAGGCGCCGATTTCACTCGTTGGTGGGCAGCCTCATGTATGCGGCGGTCAACACACGACCGGATGTCGCATTTGCTACCGGGCAGCTGGCAAGGGTTGTGCAATGCCCTAATGAGGAGCAGGTAGCAGCTGGAATGAGGGTGGCCAAGTACCTTGGCCAAACACCGACCGTTGGGCTGCAATACTCGGCAGCGGCACAAAGGCGCCAAAAGGGCGCGGATGGTGTGGAACCCGGGCGTTTGTTCCTCACCGCATTCTCGGATGCCTCCTATGCATCGGAACCAGAGGACATGACAAGTGTTGGATGGTTAATATGCTGTGTTGGTGGAGGCCCAACTGCTTGGGAGAGCAAGAAGCAGGTGGACCAAGCTTTGAGCTCGGTGGAGTCCGAGTACATGGCACTCTTCCGTGCCGTACGAGAGATTGTGTGGCAGCGGCGTTTGTTGGCTGAATTGGGGGAGGAGCAGCAAGGACCAACCCCTCTCTATTGTGACAGCCAGGGAGCCATAGCTCTAGCCAAGAACCCTGTGTTACATGGTCTGACCAAGCACATGAGGGTGAAGTGGCATTGGACGAGGAGCATGGTGGCCGCGGGTGAAGTCGAGTTGCGCTACGTGAAGACGACGGGGCAGCCAGCAGACATGATGACTAAGAGGCTGGTGGAGCAGCAGCATTGGAAGTGTTGCAAGCTGGCTGGGATGGCTCTGAACTGAGAGAGCAAGTTCCTAAGGCCAACAACCCGAGGGGGAGTTTGTTGGTGCAACCTACGGTTTGCACTCGGCTTGTTGTCCGTGTGCGTGCATGCATGTGTGCATGGAGTGGTATGAGTGCATGAAATAAATATATATTTCATGCTTATAATGGTGTGTGAATGATGGGTCATGATGTCGAGTGTGCGTCAAGTCAATAGTGAATTATCGCTAGTCGCGTGTAACGCGGTCATTTTGTGTGTCCCGCACGGTTTCTATTTTGTCGTGCGCGGTTTCTATTTTGTCGCTTGTCGAACGTTCGGCGTGTCGCAGGTGTGTGCAGCAGACCCATCAAGAACTCAAGGATGAGTTTTGTGATGAAGAACCCGAGCCTTGGTTCAAGCTTCAAGTGTTTTCGAAGCTCGCCAAAAGGCTACACCTCAAGATATTGAAGATAAATACATTACAATGTGTAGTGTAGCATTTCTATGGGTGTAGGCCCTTGTGGAGGGTAGTTTCGAGACCCTTCTTGGTTGGAGACAGTGTGGCACTGTTCCCCATCACTGTAGCTCGGTTCTTGGGGTTTGTAGGAGCTGGGAGTCCTTCCCAACTCGCAACTCTTCCTAGTTGTTTGTAATCGTGCTTCTAAGACTATGTTGCTGCCATAGTGCTGTTCGTTCAATCTGACGCTGTGTCGTCAATTCTTCATGAAATCGTGCGATCTAAATTGCCTATTGTAGGCGACGTTAAGGCGCTCCAGATCCAAGTTGAATGAGGTCGTTTGAAGGTGTGACCAGATCGCTATGAACGTTTAAAGCCGCTGTGCAGAAATCCGACTGTGCACTCTATCTTTGGCTCTAGGCACATTGAAGCCTATTGAAGCCTACTGTTTCTATAACAAGAACCCTCCAGAGCACCATGCGCAAACTGCTACGTGGCATGCGGCTACCCAACCACCAGTGGCCCGAAGCAATGGACCACGCCGTGATGCTGCACAACTTGCTCTCGTCATCATCGCTCCCAAACAACGCATCACCGCATCTGCTGTGGACAGGAAAATTGGGCAGCACAAAAATGTTGCGCGTCTTCGGCTGCATGGTACAGTACCGACCCCCAGCTGCACGAGCCGGCCGATTCTCCCAACGCGCACAGTGGGGGCTACACCTGGGCATCGAAAAGAATTACAACGCATGGAAGATTTTTTACATCAACACCAAAGAGACAGTAGCAACACGTGATGTTATTTTCTACGAAGGACTCACCCTCCCATACTACCCCGCCAACTTGCAAGAAGGAAATAATGACCTCTCGGATGGATTTCTTCGCTTCAGCAGAAGAAGAAGCTGACCGGGACGAGCAGAACGTGGACAGAGCCTCGGAAGAAGCCGGACCTCTCCCCTACTGTCCAGTCGATGTCCCAATGGATGACGAAAACCCACGCGACAGCATCAACGCCGAAGCCTATTACCACTTCGCCGACAACGGTTACGTTACACCTGCACAAGTCAACACCGACGAAGCAGAACGCATAGGACCAAACTTCAACCCCACACCAGAAGCGGGAGACGAAGCAGTTTATCCTGAGAATACAACACTCCCCCGTTATACACAGAGTGGCCTCCAGATACTCGGCCTCGTCACCGCGGTTCACGGCACGGCGATTCCTAAGGAGCCTGTCACACTTCAGCAGGCTCTAGGGGGGGAGCATAGGGAAAAATGGCGCGAAGCCATGGACAGGGAGCTGAAAGCACTGGAGGGACGCAAAACTTGGAAAGTCGTCCCCATCGGCGTGGCACGAAACAAGACAATACTCACCAAGAAGTGGGTCTTCTGTGTGAAAACAAAAGCAGACGGCACCATCGACAAGTTCAAAGCACGCTGGGTCGCACGTGGCTTCGACCAGGAACATGGACGCGACTTCACCGAAACATTCGCTCCGGTCAGCCGACACACCTCACTGCGAATTCTCCTCGCGATCGCCGCCATGAAGAAAAAGAAGCTGCGGCAAATCGACGTCGCGAATGCTTTCCGCTACGCACCTGTCGACGCAGAGATCTTCGTCGAGTTACACACACGGCTCCAGCACAGACTCAAACCACGTCTGTCAACTGCTAAAATCTCTGTACGGCATCAAACAGGCCCCGAGACTGTGGCAACAGTACTTGCACGCTAGACTCATCTGCATCGGTTTCCGCCAGCTACCACACGACCAGGGCATGTACCGGCTTACAAAGGGCACCGACTACATCCTATTGATCGTTTACGTAGACGACCTACTTTACATCGGCTCGACCGACGGCGTCACCACCTAGTTCGAAGGGGAGCTGCAGCAAGATCTCACGCTCACGGTTTCGTCCACAGTCACGCAATACTTCGGCCTCAACATCGAACAAAAGGAAGACGCGATCTACCTCAGCGCCGCCAAGTACACCGACACCATCGCCAAAGGCTTCGGACTCACCCCATCCAACATCTCTACGCCATACCGCTATACCACCGGAATCCACAAGGAAGGCTCCACTCTGCTCAAACCCACCGGCATACGAGATTACCAGAGAAAGCTGGGATGCTTCCTCTTCGCGGCCGTTACCTGCCGTCCGGATCTATCGTACTCCGTGAGCCAACTCGCAACCTACCTCAAGAGACATGAAGCGGAACACATGGCGGAGCTCGACCGCGCTCTTCACTACCTCGTCAGCACCCCGACGATCGGTCTGACCTACCACAAGACCGCAACTACAACGCCTAAGCTAATCGACTACGTCGACGCCGATCACGCCGGAGATCCCGACAACAGCCGCTCGTGCACCGGCTATATCTATCGCTTCGAGCCTATCGGTCCTATCTCCTGGCAGTCGAGCAAGCAGGAATTAATCGCCCTCTCCTGCTGAAGCTGAATACATCGCACTCTATTCGGCCACCAAGGAAGGATTGTACCTTCGCGAACTCCTAGAGGAAGCGAAGCTGACTCAGTTACCCAGCTTCACCCTGTTCTGCGACAACCAGTCGGCAATTCGCATAGCCAACAAGAACGGCTTTGCGAACAGGACGAAACACATCGCCCTGCGATACTTCTTCGTGAAGGACGAGATCGAGAAGGGGAGGCTCGAGCTGTCATACTGCCCCACGTCCGAGATGGCAGCTGACTACTTGACCAAGAAGCTCGGAAAGCAGAAGTTCGAGTACTGCATGATGCTGACTGGACAAGACCACGTCACCGGCAGCGACACTCCAGAAGCGAAGGGGAGTGTTGGAAACAATTAACGTAAGCGCCTCTGTCGTGTCGAAACACCAAGTCACAAGCGAAGCATATCGAAGCACCGGCGAGTCAACCCTCGGAGGTTGAGCAATGTAACTGCTGGAGGTTACGCGAAAGTCAAAGGTCAGCGACCTTTGACCTGACAAGTACAGTGCGACAGCAAGGACACACAACTGACTCGTTACAGAGCAGTTGCCCGAGTCGTCACTGTATCGAACCGCAACAGCAAACAGTAAAACAGTTATAGCTGTATCTCTTCATATTCCTTGTACTCTTATAAATCATTGTATCTCTTTGCTTTAATCAATCTACTTTGCCCTCACATACTAGTGCAAGGTGGTTCAAACACTTCATTGAAAGCTTCCGCTATTACATCATTTTCTACTCAGAGTTCAGCCCTGCAAAGATCCTAAGGGCTTTTTCTCAGCCCAACATCCACTAAGAAGGAAAACAAGTTTCTTCTATGAGCATATTATTTCCTTCTTATACAACCAGATGCCCAGCCAGCTCTTGTTACCCAAGAGAATATGTAAAACGTAGAAGTAGCTCTTGTTACCCCAGAAGATATGTAAAGCGTATAAACGGGTAAGATCCTTCAAATACCTATGTGAAATCCAATGTCTCACCATGCATACGGTAGCCAAAACTCAAAACAAACCCCTCAAAAGGGGAATAGAAATCTCGAACAGCGAACGAAAGAAAGGAAAAAGACTTCGGCTATGTACAACTTCATCGAAAACACTTCATTGCACTCCCCTCAGTTGCGATAACCAGCCACGCTCCCACTCGCCTCTCCACTCGTCCCCTCTCCACTCGTCCCCTCTCCAGCACTGAAGCTCTCATTCCCCTCCAAGCTGCCCGTATCCCTCACATCCGACACCGACGTCTCACTCATCATTAACACCCCATTATCCAGGCTCTCCCACTTCTCCTTCACCACCCCTCCCACTCCCTCCACACCCATATCCACTCCTACAAATCCACTCCCGAGTTCCAATCCGATTTCCTCCTCCCGCCTCACCACCTCCTCGTGCAGCTGCTTCAGCTGTGAGAGCACTTTGGCCATGGAGGGGCGCGAGGCAGCGGGCATGGCAGTGCATTCCATGGCCAGGGATACAAGGCTCTCCATCACGTCAGCATGCATCATAGTGATGTCACTGGTAGACACAGCAGGAGAGGCCATGCGCGGGTCTATGATGGAGCTGACGTCACTGCTTGAGAGCTCTGCTGTCGCCTGCATGGGAAGATGGGGCAGGACAAGGGAGAACGATCAAAAGGGGACGGATGTGTAAGAGGGGACGGATGTGTAAGAGGGGACGGATGTGTAGGAGGGGACGGATGTGTAAGAGGGGACGGATGTGTAAGAGGCGGATGTGTAAGAGGGGAAAGAAAGGGAGGGTGGGAGGAGCAATATGAAGCTCGAAGACAAAGAATGAAGATCGGAGAAGGGAATGAAGGAGAAGTAGTTTCATTGGAGCCGTGAGTGCTCACGGATTCAGAGACAGGTGGACATTGACCAGAACAAATGTCGCTATGGAGACAAGCGGTGGGTGTGTGTGTGTGTGTGTGTGTATGTGTGTGTGTGTGTGTGTGTGTGTGTGTGTGTGTGTGTGTGTGTGTGTGTGTGTATGTGTGTGTGTGACTCACCCATTCCCGAATGTGTGACTGCGAGCCATCGACCGAGAGAATGGGCTCCCTGCCTGTTAGCAGCTCCAGCACCAGCACTCCGAAACTGAGGGATAGAGGGGAGGGGAAGGGTAGTTGGTGTGGTTGAGGGGAGAGGAGTGGATACAACGGAGCTTGCAGCTGAGCAGGATGGGCACCCTGCCTGTTAGCATCTCAAGCACCAGCACTCTGAAACTAAGGATAGGGGCGAGTGGATTGGACCGGATTAGCTTGTACGTGAGCACATCCTAGGGATATATTCCAGTGAAAATTTGTGCTAATGAACTGGAAGGCTGGCAGCACCTACATGGACAACTCGTACGAAGCAGCCAGCACAGACTTGCATGCGCCAGTGGCGGTGGTGGCGAGGTGGGTGTCGTGGTATTTGAGCTCCGCATAGCCCAACACTACAGCCCAACACTACATAGCCCAACACTACATAGCCCAACACTACAGCCCAACACTACATAGCCCAACACTACAGCCCAACACTACAGCCCAACACTACAGCCTACGTGTTTTAAGGTACCTGGCAACTCAGCTCACCTGTACACGTCAGTGGCGGTGGTGGCGAGGTGCGTGTCATGGTATTCGGGGTCCACATGGCCCGGTGTGCCCATCACCCCACACTGACCGGCTACAACTTGAAGCACCACCACTGGCCAGCACCGCTCACCTGTACACGTCAGTGGCGGTGGTGGCGAGGTGAGTGTCATGGTATTCGGGGTCCACATAGCCCGGTGTGCCCATCACCCTGGTGGGGTTCACCTGGCTCGCCTCCATCATCCTCATCAACCCAAAATCCGCCACCTTTGCCTGTCAGGTTGGGTAGTGTAATGAGAGGGAGGATGAGAAGAAATAGTGAAACTTGGTGTGAGAGGTTATGAAGCTCATACGCACAACTTTTTACCATATCCTTAAGCACAAAATTATGAATCTCTGGTCCTTGCACCAGTCTCACTCACCCGCATGTGGGCATCCAGCAGCACGTTGGCGGGCTTGACATCGCGGTGCACGATCCGACGGCTGTGGAGGAAGCTCAGCCCATCCGCCACATCCACCAGCAATGCCAGCCTCTGCCTCAGCGACATGGGCTTGGCTCCTGGGAGGTGGGGGGATGGGGAATATGAGCATAGAGGGATGGGATGGGAGTATAGAGGTGTGATGGCACGTCCACCAGCACTGCCAGCCTCTGCCGCAGCGACATGGGCTTGGCTCCTGGGAGATGCAAGCAGGGGCATGGGTAGAAGAGGAGGGTTGGGATTTGAGATGGGCATGGCCCCCGGGAGATGGGGGGATGGGGAGTTGAAGAGGGCGTGAGGAAGTCAAGTTTTGTTGGGGTGAGATGGGCTTGGCTCCTGGGAGGTGCCGGCATGGGGGGACGAAGAGATGAGGGCATAAGGGGATGTGTTTTTTGGGAGTGAGAGCACGGATGAAGGGCAGTATGGAGGCTTAGAGAGTGGCACCTGACTGGAGGTAGATCAGCATTGGCATGAAGTAACAGTTGCTGGAGTAGGTTAAAGGCCAGTCTGATGATTATCATGGTGTTATCTTTTCATTCCACCATGTTTGGAGCGAGTTACACTCTAGGTCTCAGTATGGGTTGATTTCATAGGTTTTAGCCTAAAGTGAACACAGCCCTAGTTCGGTTAATTTTTCACAACTTCCTTGCTGAAACGTGTCTCGACATTGATTCATTACAATTTCTCTCTCGTCCATGCTACCACGTATCAGCTCTTAACAATATAGTGATCTTTACACTTCTTTATTTTCTCCCTCACACTCTCTCTCACTCACTCACTTGCTCTCTGCCACCCGCTTGCTCTCTGTTGATCCATAACTTTGTCTGTCACTCCCTCTCTCACTCTCCAAATCCCTCCCTTCCTCATTCCCTGAATTGGCATTGGCATTGGCGTCGCCTACCCTGAATTACCCCTAACCTCACCTGTCTGGGCCCTAGCCTCACCTGGCCTGGTCCTGTGTGAGAGGCCCCGGTTGGCATGCAGTGAGACTCAGCGATTTTCTCCATCAGTCTGCTTGCAACACCTACACTGAAGCCCATTTGCTTAACCTCACCTGGCTTGGCCTTTTCACCTGGGTTGCCCCAGCCTCACCTGGCCGGGCCTTCTGTGAGAGGTCCCCGTTGGGCATGAACCGAGACACGACGATCTGCTCCATCTGCCCACATGCAACACCTGCATGTGGTTTGAATTGAAGCCCATTTGGCCCAGCCTCACCATGCATCTTGCAAACCTCACGTGACCTGGTCCAGTGCGAGAGGTCCCCGTTGGGCATGAACTGAGACACGATGATCTGCTCCATCTGCCTGCACGCAATACCCCCATGTGATCCTGCTGGCCTAGCCTCACTCAGCTTCGTCCTAACCTCACCTGGCTTGGCCTAGCCCTGCCTGCATTTCCATAGCCTCACCCGGCCTGGTCTTCTGAGAGAGGTCCCCATTGGGCATGAATTGAGACACGATGATTTGCTCCATCTACCTGCACGCAATACTCCCATGTGTTTTTATTTTGGGTTTGTTCACCTCAACCTCACCTGTGGTCCAGTGCGACAAGTCCCCGTTGGGCATGAACTGGGACACGATCATCTGCTCCATCTGCCTGCATGCTACACCCGTATATGATTTGCATCCCAGCCTTGTTGACTTAACCTCACCTGCACTGGTCCAGTGCGAGAGGTCCCCATTGGGCATGAATTGAGACACGATGATCTGCTCCATATACCTGCACGCAATACTCCCATGTGTTTTTTTTAAGAGTATTTTCACTCCATCCTCACCTGTGGTCCAGTGGGACAAGTCCCCATTGGGCATGAACTGGGACACGATGATCTGCTCCATCTGCTTGCTGGCCTCATTGTAGTCGATGCAGTACCCCAGCAGTGGCACCAGTGCTGGGTGCTGCAGCTGCGCCATTGCTTTCACCTGGGAGTTTGGAGATGGGGGAAAGCATGAAGCATGACTTGAGAAAGCATACACCCCTGCAGCGGCACCAACCTCGGGTTCTACAGCCACGCCATGGCTTTCACCTGGGGAATGAGGGGATGTGGGAAAGTAGGAGGCATGCGAGGGAGGGCGATTAGTAAGAGGAAGCAGAAACAGGGAGGTGAGAATGGGAGGAAGCGGTGTAATCAAGCAATCTCCTGCTCTTTTTTCACTTTATTAATAATCAGATTCTGTTACTGCCTTACCTTTGCTTCCCTTCCCTCTCCTTTTCCCTCCCCAGCTCTTCCCCTCCCCACATCCCCAACCTCCCCTCACCTCCTCGTTTTCTAAAATCCCCTCCTTCCACCATTCCTCTCCCCGTACCCCCTTCTTGAAGGGTTTAGGGTCTAGGGTTTAAGTGGCGCGCTTGACGGCCCACAGCAACCCGGGGCGGGGAGTTCCACGCCCTTGTACACTTCGCCGCAGCCACATAGTGCCTTGCATTGGATCGGATTAACTTCCTTCTCCTTCTCCCTCTCCCCTCCTCCCCTCCACCCCTGCCTCCCCTCCCCCCCCCCCTCCCCCCCCTGCCATATAGCCTCTCCCACTCCTCCAACCTCCCTCCACTCTCCTCTTCGTACCTCCTTCTTGAATTCGTTAGACAGCATGGTGGCGCGCTTGACAGCCCACACCACGTCCGGATCACCCAGGTCCACGCCCTTGTACACGTCGCTGAAGACCCATAGCGCGTTACCTTTTCTTCCCCCCACCTTGTGTTTGAAGTCGTTGCAGAACATCATGGCTGGTTTCATGACCCACACCACAACGTCCCACAGCGCCCCTCACCGCCCCTGACCGCCCCACACCTGTCCACACATCTGGTACATGTCATTCCCCTCACCTCCTTCTTGAAGTCATTAGAGAGCATGGTGGCGCGCTTGACGGCCCACAGCACCTCCGGATCGCTCGGGTCCACGCCCTTGTACACGTCACTGAATCCCCCCGAGCCGATCAGGTTGACCTCCGAGAAGAAGTTGGTTGCCTGTTTGATGTCTGCCAGTGAGTATTGCTTGCACGCTGGAGGAGATGAGGGAGAGGGAAGGGGAGGGGTAGCAGGAATTGGGAGAATTGAGGTTGGTCGGGCTGCTTCTTTTACGAAGTTGGTAGCCTGCTGGATGTCGGCCAGTGAGTACTGCTTGCACGCTGGGAGGAGGCAAGGGAGAAGAAAAACAAGTGGGAAGAAAGACATGGGGAGAATAAGAGGCTAGAATGAGGTAGGAGTAGAAACTCAGCCCGCCAAATTTAACTTGGAGAAGAATTAGATGGCCTGCTGGATCTCTGCCTGTGATTACTGCTTTGCACGCTGCGGGTGGGATTAGGAAAGGGGGGAGGTGGGTGGAGGGAATCATTGGTCGAGTCGAGGGAGTGCGTCCTGATTGCACGCTGGGGGGCATACCGGAAGAGGGGGCGTGGGAAGTGGGAGATCTGAGGGACTCAGATTGATTTGATCTCCAAGTACCCACGGGTTCCGACCCTAGCTGCAAGTCTAGTGGTGTGCGCTTCTTGCTGGATGTAAGGGGGGTGGGGAGGCTGTGGCAGCGGGCAGCCAAATTAGCGTGGAGAGCAAGCATGGAATGAAAGATGCAAGGAAAGAAATAAAAGAAGCAAGTGGCATCGTACCTAGCAAGGGGATTTACCAGGTTCGGATGGGCGGAGGAAGAACCAGAGGAGGAGGGCGAGGGTGCTGAGTGAAATGAGTGCCGCCACCACTATGCCTGCTATGGCTCCTGCGGAGAGAGCACTGCTGGAAGCTGGCGAGGGGGGAGAGGAGGGAGATTGTGAGGAGAGGAAGGAGTCAGTTTGCAGCTAGCTGGCGAGCCTACTCCTTGTAACATTCACTACACCTCCCACATATTTGAACTCCTATGATCCTGAACATTTGAGCTTGTGAGAAAGGTGATGAGAGGGATGAGAGACTAGTGATCTGCATTGAACGTTTGGGGAATCTTGATTGGAGAAGGAAGCGTGACAAGGGAAGCATAGTAGGAGCAAGGAAGGGGAGTGTAAGGGCGGAACTGTTTTCAGAACGATAGAGGACCAAGAATCAGGATGAGGAGGACCACGAATCAGGATGAGGAGGACCAAAAATCAAGATGGGGAGGACCAAGAAGTGCACTGAGTGACAGAGGAAGCATGCCAGGAGAAGTGGTGCTATAGGGATATGGATTCTTATGAATGGGGATTCGTAGTGAATGCTGGCATGAGCATGCTGAGAGAAAAGCTGTAGACAAAGGGAGCAGGAGCAGGGGACCCACCAGAGGCAGAGGAGGAGCAGCCAAGGCAGTAGCTCTGGCACAAGTGGCAAGTGGTGTTTGGCGCAGTCGAGCTGGCAGACCCAGGGGAGGTGGAGTCAGTGACAGCTGGCGACATGGAATTGGCCGGTTGCGCAAGAGGGAGCAACGGGCTGACGGGCGGGGGAGGGGCGGCAGGACAGGTGGCATTGTCGTTGCAGTAAATGCCAGGTGTGCCGTACCTGGTGGCGGGAGGAGGAGACATGGAAGCGGGAGAGGGGGTTTGGGTGGTGAGGGTGAGGAAGGAGGTTGTGAGTAAGATGACAGCTGTGATGGAAGAAGACGTGTGGTGAAAGAAGAAGCATGCAGTAGGTGCCGTTATCATCACACAAGGTGATCAAGTTGTTGCAATCGAACAGCTGTAGGGGGGAGTGCGTGAGGAACGCGAGTCAACTCATCAATTCACCCAAAGTTTCATGTTAGAAGCAAAGAGAAATCATAGTGGAAAAAGGTGTAACATCTAGCCGTGTATGCACCAGCATCCACAAGACACAACGTTCTTCTGACAAGCTCTTCCCTGTGAACGTCTGGGCAGGGCGAGAGAGTCTCACAGTGCCTGCAGCTGCTCCAAGCTGTCGACGCCCCATGGCACTGACCCGGCCACCCCCGTGTAGCTCAGATCGCTGCCGTGTGGACCAGAGACGAGAAGAGGGGGGAGGGGGAGGGGAAGCTCAGATGGGAACATGGGTAGTCTGCTGGTGTAGTACATATGAGATGCCATTATACACAGAAAAAAAGCTGCAGACATTTTCAGATGATCGGCGAGGCCAACTGAGAAATCATCAAATAGCCATGCACAATACAACCGCCATGTAATATCTGCGTTAGTCTCTGCATATCTGCGTACCTTCTCCTGGGGTAGCATTATAAGGTGCTCCAAGGACACAAACGAAGTGGTTTGGTTTGAGTATGCAGTTCAGATGTTGAGTGTAACGGCGTGAAAGAGGAACAGCAGGTCTGAGAAGTGACCAGGAGTGACGCCCGTCCCTGATTTGCTTGGTTGCTTACAGGAAAACCAGGTTGGAGAGCGAGGTGAAGGAATCAGGGATGGGGCCTGTGAGGCTTGAGCGGCTTAGATTCCTGCACAGGTGGTGTGAGGTGTGGCAGAAGAGGGAAAATGAATGAAGGGGAGGCAGATGTGCGTGGTCTGTAAGAGAAGCAGGCGATTATGGTGAGCATGGTGAGCATGGTGAGCAGGATGAGCATGGTGATCATGATGAGCATGATGAGCATGACGAGCATGGCACAAGCATGGCACGAGCATGGCACGAGCATGGCACGAGCATGGCACGAGCATGGCACGAGCATGGCACGAGCATGTGGCTCAACAGGAAGTTTTTGCCTAAACACAAGGGACATGTACAAAAAGAGGGCCACCAATTGAAGGGGTTGTATCCAAAACATCCCGCCCGCAAGGAAGGCACTATGTACAGATCATGCTACATTCAAACCACCACGATGCTGCTTACAAACCAACATGACGCTACATCCAGACCACCATGACGCCACCAACATGATGCTAGAAGACCGTGATGCTAAACAACCCGTTTGTTCAAGAAAGGAAAAAAGGAATGATCCTAACTGGATGATTGCATGTGGATGAACCCGTGTGGATGATCACATGTGGATGATTGCATGTGGATGATCCCATGTGGGCGTACAGGGAGGTGAGGGCTGTGAGGCGGCCGAGACTGGTAGGAATGGAGTCTGAAATGCTGTTGCGACTCATGTCCCTGTGGGGGAATTTCAGCATCCAAATATGTAATCAGAAGGATACGTTACGGAGACGTCTCAATCACAATACGGACATAAATATCACTGAAATAGTTTTTTTCCCATGTATTTACTATAGTAAACATTCTTGTAACCTTCATCTTCAACTGACCAACCATATGTGCATGAGCATCCGTTGCTCACCAATCAGAGAGTTGGGCATGACTCATGAAATTTGAACATGCAACGCTCACTCCAGATTATTACCTCGAACATGGAGCGGAGCTGACATATACGCGAGCAAGGACAACACACATGTGCATTACTCTCACATGTGCATAACTCACATGTGCATGAGCATAGTCAGACTGCCCAAGGCAGATGGGATGGATCCAGAAAGCTGGTTGCTGTTGACGTCACTGTGGAGGGGAGAGGGAAGTAAGAAAGTGTGAGAAGGTGCTGATGAGTGAGATTCGAGGTCAAGAGGAGCTTCTCAGCAGCCTGTAGCTCTCTTTGAGCAGAGGAAGAGTGAGGCCTGATTATGTTGATTAAGAATAACTATAGTCAACTGTCAATGTACCCTCCCTGCGTGTCATTTGAGTTCTTGCTTCGCGCTCATAGATCATCCTTCTGACACTTCTGCTTTTTAACCTTTTGTCTTCACTCTTTCTTTTGTCGTGAAATAGGCTACAGAATTAAGCACCTTAAGATTCCTCTTTCACCGTAGCGATGCTGTAATATAACGGTCAATAGAAGAAATATTATAGATATTACAAGACATGGCCCGGCTTGAAGTTCTAGTGTCTCATACAGGGACGTCAATTCGGCCAGAGCACCCAGGGATGCAGAAACCGTGTCAGAGAGCGCGTTGGTGCTGAGATTTCTGTGTGGAATCGGAGCGAGTGAAGGGGAGTTGTGAAGATGGAAAGGCCGTACAGTCAGGAACATATAGTGAGTATATTTGCAGCAGTGATGGTACGTAAGTGAGCGGCCGAGACAAAGCACAAGTGGAAGCGGAATGGTGGGGAAGGTGGTTATTAGCACCCATGATGAGAACAACTTTTGGAACTTGCAGCACAAAACAAAGGTTTTCTTAAATACAGGCAGCACACCGTTAGGTTCCTTAAAGGTTCACTCACAGCCTCTGTAAGGACGTGAGCGCTCTCAGGAAGTCTGGAATGCTGCCACTGAGGGAGTTGCCACTTAGGTCCCTGCCATTTACAGGATGCCCATTGATTTTCACAAGGAGATCGAGGCTCGAGGAGATACGGAGATAGCAACGCTGAAGCCATGTGACATGCACAAAATTATGAAGCTATGTGTCAAAACAGGATTCAGAAGTTACGTCTGCATACATGGAGACCGGAGTCCATGAGATGCAGGTTCCCATGAATGCAGGAAACGAACGGTCTCACAGAGAGTTGAGGAGCTTGAGTTCTTGGAGGAAGAGCGGGATGGCGCCTGAGAACTGGTTGCCACTCGTGTTGCTGCTTGGGGGATGGATGGCAGGAGGTTTAAAAGGTGTGCGAGGAGGTGTGTGATGACTCGTAAGAGGAGGTGCAAGATTGGGGTGCGTAAGGGTCCTAAAGACCAGCTGGAGCATATTTGGATGCAAGCAGGCGAACAAATCTGGTGCATGAACAAGGGACAGCAGTGGCACATACAGGGATGTAAGGGCCACGAGACTGCTCAGTTCTGGAGGAAGCGGTCCAGAAAGCCTGTTGTTGCTGACGTTCCTGCAGAGCGAGGTGGAGGGCAAGGGCGAGGGGAAGGGGGATCTTGTGCTAGCGACAGTGAGAGCGTTTGTATGTCAATACAATTGTGTGCCCAGTCTGTTGCGTACATGCGTGTGTGAGGCTCTGGAGCAAGGTGTGCTCTTGTGGGCTTCTGGATGTGAGTCACGTCACACTTTGTCTTACCTCGCTTTGCCACCCTCCACCTCCACACGTGGCACATCCTCAGATTTGAAACCCCATGCTGCGAAACGATTTGCAATGCTAAACTGCAGGTTGTAGGGACACCGGACTAAGTGGTGGAGCGGAAGAGAGAGTGTTTGGGACAAAATGCTCTTACAATGATGCAAGGCTGCTGAAATTTGCAGTGTTCTGAGGGAATCCTGTGAAGCTGTTGCTGCTGAGATCCCTGTTGTTTGCTCACCAAACGAGATCAATGGGATCATTGATGATGACATAAGGAAGGAAGAAAGCTGAGATCGGTACACAACATCAATGTGACACGCTACGCGGCGTAGACCGCGACTGCTGATGTGCAGTTTTGCTGTTATTCATAGATGTTTTTCATTATAGCAATATTCTCAGTCCAATTGAATTCGTATAAGGAATCCACAGGGAGAATGTGATACCGAGAAGAGGAAATTATGTAGAGAAGTGCTAGAAATTAGTCTGTGGTATGAGAGTTATGAGAGACGTACACAGACGATACATTGTATGGGAGACTGGGCAGCGACCCCTCAAAGTAGTTGTTCTGCAAGTACCTGTGATGTGATCGTTCCCAACCATCCATGCACATAGTTGTTGAGCGATTTTAAACACAGGCGCGCATAACATGCCAAGGCACGACATAGAACGCCTCACACACACCATTCCGTATCATGTCAGAGTATGTTATTTGATAGCTGGCATGTTACAGGAATCCAGCAGCTGCAGAAGCAGTAGCAAGGGGTGACATCGACTGAAGGCTCCACGTGTGCTCACGACCCAGAGGCCTCCCAGGAGAAACAAAGAGCACAAGGTACCTGTAGGAAGAAACACAGGGACTCACAAAATGCTGAGGGAGGTGAGGGCGCTGATGGTGGTGGGAAGGGAGCCAGAGAGCGAGTTGTTACTCAGATCCCTGCAGGGGCCATGTCATGGGGCAAAGTGGTTGAGGCCGGTGCTTTTGAAATGTAGGACAAACACTTGAAACCTGTCAAGTTGATATTGCATACGTCAGTACTACCAAGGGGCACTTTTGGGCCGGCATTCTAAGTGATTAGAGTACAAAAATACCACAAAACTTCAAGCGGCAAGCCTGTTTACTTGTGTTGTGTTTGCTTCAGCTGCGAGACCACTCACAGGCTGGTAAGCGTGGTAAGCCCAGAGAAGCTTTCAGGCAAGGATCCTTTCAGGTCGTTGCTGCCAAGGTCACTACAAGTGGGATGATTGGGCGCAGCAGGAGGGAAACGAGGGCGAAGACAGGGGGCGCACATACGAGAGGAGAAGGAATGAGGAGAAAAATCAAGGCATAACAGCGTTCACAGGCGCTTGGGTGCTCACAGGTGCTTGGGTGCTCACAGGTGTTTGAGCGCAGGGCAATGACCCAGCTTAGTAGGGATGTCGCCAGAAAGACTGTTGTTGCTAAGCATGCTGCATGATGCACACACACAGGCAGCAGGGATAGAACAAATTTTGACACTTGTGTGGACTTTATATGAACTAAATGGAGCAGGTAATGCTGAACAACAACCGACCCATGAAAACAACGATGGCCCTTTTTTTACCGTATTGCGAGGGCAGGTATAAGAAAAACCATTGTGTTTTCGAATGCTAGACTCTGTACCACACCACGCACTCATGCAATGCCTGATTCAACATTAGCCGCCGCACAACTTCCCAGCAAAAAGGTGAGGCATATCAATTAGAGCGAATATATCTCAGCATCAAAGGGCGTAAGTGCTTACAGTGTGATCAAGGAAGTCAGCGCGTCAAGCCCAGTGGGAACCGAGCCATCAAAGTAGTTGTTACTCAGGGCCCTGACATTCAGAATCATCGTGTTGAGTGATTGGTGACAGCAACACAATGGGATAACCACATGCTGAATGAATAAGTCTGAACACATAACGAGCTCAAAGTGAAAGTGAGGCAAACCAGGAGACTAACATGCCTTTGGATGGATGGATGTGGAGTTGGGAATTGTCGGATAGAAACTATTGGGAGGAGATACAGCATGCGCTCTTCACTCATTGCGGAAGAGATGCACCTCTGAAGAACTAACTATTGGGAGGATATACAGCATGCGCTCACAGGAATGTGAGGTTCTTGAGTTGCGTGATGGTCTCTGGCACACTCCCGTTGAGCTGGTTCTTGGTGGCACTACTGCACACATAGCATGTAAGACATATCATGCAAGGCACAGAGGGATGTTGTTATCTGGTGTACACCAACCAATGCATGCTGATGTATGCGATCATGAATGTATGTGCGCATGTATGTGTGTGCTGGTATGTGCGAGCATGAATGTATGTGCGCATGTATGTGTGTGCTGGTATGTGCGAGCATGAATGTGTGTGCGCATGTATGTGTGTGCTGGTATGTGCGAGCATGAATGTGTGTGCGCATGTATGTGTGTGCTGGTATGTATAAGTCATAAATGTGTGTGCGTATGTATGCCTGTGCTGGTATGTGTGAGTATGTTTTGTGTTCTAACATGTCCGTGCATGTGTGTGGCTGTGTGTGTATGTGTGTGTGTGTGTGTGTATGTGTGTGTGTGTGTGTGTGTGCTAGCTCGGATGTGTGTGCATGATTGTGGATGCGTGCATGTGTGATGTGCCCACATGCGTTCCTTTGTGCATGTAGTGGGTGCGTGCATGTTGGAGTGTATGTGTGGTGTGTGGGTGCATGTGTGTGTGTGTGTGTGTGTGTGTGTGTGTGTGTGGTTCATGTGTGCCTGAGTCTGTGGTGTATGTGTGTGTGGCATGTGTGTGTGTGCATGTGTTTGTGTGTGTATGTGTGTGTATATGTGTGTGTGGTTGTATATGTGTTTTTAAATCATGAGTCACCCAGCTTACAAATGCATCAGATTGACCAGGTTGCTAATTTCAGATGGTATAGGGCCTGAGAAAAATGCATCATCAAAATCCCTGTAGAGAGCCAAGATGAGCAAAAAGGGAGAGTGAGAGAGAGGAGATTAGGTCGAGCAATGAAAAACGGTTACGAGCAATAAGAAATGGTGTTGAGCATAGGGAATCGGTGTGCACACGATGCCATCACAGTCTGGAAATCAATGGAGTTGATATAACACCTCCTTGACTAGATCCTTTGAGATGCTCACAGAAACGTTCTGTGCAGTTTGACAGGGTGCAAGGCCATGAAGTGTTAATATATAGCGTGGCATGCAAGGAGGATCCACGTTTAATAGTTGGTTAAGCAGCCATACAGGGCAGAGAGATTGGTAAGCTGAAAGAGGCCTGTAGGAATAGAGCCATGGAGAGAGTTGTTTGGAAAGTGCCTGAAGTGTTGTTGCCATGATTGGAAAGTAGGGTTCGTGGCACATTCATGACAATGTAGGCACATAGAAAAAAACAATTTATCGGTGACCTAAAGGTTCGCAGATGTATCGGCCAATCAACATTATATTGACTTGATACACGTTGAATTGAAATTTGAAGAAAATAGGATTCAACACGTCATTTGGCAAAAATACAGCAGCAGCTGTGTGAACAATAGTAGTATCAGCATTAGCAGCAGCAGCAGCAGTAGCAGTAGCAGTAGCAGTAGCAGTGGCAGGAGCAGTAGCAGTGGCAGTAGCAGTAGCAGTGGCAGTAGCAGTGGCAATGGCAGTGGCAGTAGCAGTGGCAGCAGCAACAACAACAACAACAACAACAACAACAACAACAACAACAACAACAACAACAACAACAACAACAACAACAACAACAACAACAACAACAACAACAACAACAACAACAACAACAACAACAACAACAACAACAACAACAACAACAACAACAACAACAACAACAACAACAAGAACAATGATAATGATATTCCCAATAATGCTGGCATAGACTAGAGTTTGCTGTGATTCATAACAAGGTGTTATCCTATTATTCCGCCATGTTCAGAGCAAGTTACTATTTAATTCCAGTTTATGTTCTTTTTTTACACACCTTAAATTCGGTTAGTTAATTCAACCTCCTTGATCAAGTGCATCTGACAACTTCTACTAGAACAGCGTTTTTACCTCACCGTCCATGGCTTCACTTAGCTTCACTTTGATGTAATATATGAGAAAACCAAACAGCATGTTGGTCAGGTAGAAAATCTCACAACTCATTGAGGCTTTTGAGGTTGAGGAAGGCAGCTGGTAGCGTGCCAGTGAGGGCAAGGTTTGACATGCCGCTGGATGGAGGAGAAGGAGAGAGTGGCATAGAGGGGGTGGAGCGAATTGGTGTGAGGATAATAGGGGAGTGAGGAGCACAGTGGGGTGAGGAGCGGACTGGGGTGAGGAGCGGAGTGGGGTGAGGATCACGGGGGAATGAGGAACAAACTGGGGTGAGGAGCAGAGGGAAGTGAGAATTGAGAACAGCACCACTAGGAGTAGCATCTACGAGAGCAGAACGAGCACTCATCCAGGCAAGCACAGGTGCGCGGCTGGCCTCACAGTGTGCGCAGCCGCCTCCACAGAGTGCACAGCTGCCCTGGGAGCAGCAGGGGCACCCGTGGAGCACTCACAGGGCTCTCAGCTGCGTGAGGCTGCTCCATGAGTCGGGCACGGAGCCGCTGAGAGCATTGGTGGCCACCCACCTGAGGTGGGGGGCACAAGAGAAGAACGGTCGAGGCAAGATGAGCGAGGAGGGGGGGAGCAAGGCGATGTCTGTAGAGAGCAATTGTGGCTGCCCGCCTGGCGGGCATTAAAGCACAACAGAGGCAGGACAGGAGTGGGAGAGGCATAATCACTGGATGAAATACCAGGTGGAAGGTAAGGAGGAGGGGGATCAGCGGAGGGCGTCCGTCCACGCAGCGCACTTGGATGGGTTGTGGCGAAGGCTCTGTTGTCGCACTCAAAAGGCTGACAGGCTGTTGCACTCACAAGGCTGACAGGTTTGTGAGCTTCCCAATGCTCTCTGGAAGAGGCCCTGAGAACTGATTAACACTCACGTCCCTGAAGAGAGGAGGCATGCAAGAGGTAGAATAAAGATCCGCAAAGAATTGATGAGAATCATAAAAGCAAATGGATGGATGTAGGCGCATGATCCAGGGACGTGTGGAAACGAGGCGTGGAATCAAAATGAGAGAATGTTGTGGTAATGTGACCATACACTGGAGTTAGTGATATCCTTGAGAAGGGCTACTGACAGCATTCATTGCTCGTACGTACTACCACGGGGAAAGGGTACAACAAGTGCGGTTTTGAGACTACTACATGAGAAGGGCCTTGCCAATGCGACAGCTGATGTGAATGGATTCTAGCTAATGTGCCATGAGCTGCACTTTTGCTGTGTCGAATCATGATTAAGGACAACACAGTGTTAAGGTACAAGCCCAGGTGACCGACAATTGTTATTCAAAACTCTGTGATGTGATACTGTTACACCTACATAATTTCAAGGTTAACAAGCCTCCCAAAGTCGGAAAGCAGTGGGCCTGTGAACCCGTTGAAGCTCAGATCCCTGTAGACGTCCATGCATTGGATTCAGAGGAGATCGGAAACTTGATGCATAGCCGGCAGCGACTTTTGGTCGACTAAAAATCATCTCTGCAGAGGTCCATGTATTGGATTCAGAGGAGAGCAGAAACACGATGCATAAGGTGGCAGTGACCTTTGAGTCGACTCAAACATCATCTCTGCATAAGTCCATGTGTTGGATTTAGAGGATAGATGAAATACCAGCAATGAGGCAGTTACAACAAGTGTGAATTAGGATTACAAGACAGGTACTTACGAGGACGAAGACAAAGCTCAGGGACAAAAGAAACAGCGTGTTGATGAGATGAAGGTACTGACAGTCTGGTGAGCCCGGTAAGGTTGAGAAGGGAAGCTGGAATGGTGCCGTTCATGTCGTTGCTCCTCACCTCGCTGACAGCAACGCAACGCAAAGGGCAGCACAGCAAGTAATTAATAAAACTTCAATGTGCTCATTTTCAAACTGTTATTGAAATGAGAAACACAGGAAGAGCAGCACTTTCTGCCGATTGCACAAGTTTTTGAACGAGTGATATGCATTCAGTGGCTCGTATGGTACCATACACCCACAGGGAAAGGAGGCACCCACAGAGCGACGAGGTTGGTGAGCTGGCCAAGAGAGCTGGGGATGGTGCCGTTGAGATTGTTGTCTCGCAGCCACCTGATTGGATTTAAAGAACATGTGCACGGGCATATATGAACAAACATGTGTGCATTGCACGGGATGGGTTGGAGTTGTGGCTTTGCAGCTACCTGCTAGGCTCCATTCACGGAACACGTGTGTGCACACATGGTTCATATGTGCACATACCTACTTAGCGGCACGCATGGGAAACTTTTGAGATACCTCACAACCACCTGATGGAGATCAGGGAACTGATGTGCTTGCACTCATGTGTGCATGCATGGCATGGGGTAGCATTCCCCCAACCACACCACACACTGAGACTCTAAACGTGAATTTCCAACCACACATGCATAGCATAACAAAGTCACATGCTAAGCGGAGAAGAGACGCGAATCATTGTCCACTAATATAGAAGCTCAGAAGTCTAATCTGAACGGCACAAAGAAAACGACATAGGTGCCAGACAGGGACAGCCACGGCACGTACAGCTCTGTGAGGTTGCGTAGGCTGCCTATGGAGGCCGGCACAGAGCCGTTGAACTGATTGTAACTCAGCTCCCTGCAGTCATGTATGCACACACACACACACACGCACGCACGCACGCATGCACGCACGCACGCACGCACGCACGCACGCACGCACGCGCGCGCACACACACAGACACACAGACACACAGACACACAGACACACAGACACACACACACACACACACACACACACACACACACGCACGCACGCACGCACGCACGCACGCACGCACGCATGCACGCACGCACGCACGCACGCACGCACGCACGCACGCACGCACGCACGCACGCACGCACGCATGCACGCACGCACGCACGCACGCACGCACGCACGCACACGCGCGCACACACACACACAGACACACACACACACACACACGCACGCACGCACGCACGCACGCACGCACGCACACACACACACACACACACACACACAAGCCATTTTCTTGGTGCTTTCCTCTCTTCTGCGCTTTGTTTCATGAGAGGTACTGCAACCACTGTAATGTATACTGCAGACTGGCCAGACATCACCAAATCCACACTGCCCTCACAGCGCACACATTCGCGCCAGGAGGGCAACACTGCCGTGAAAAGGCATTCCCGCTGCCCTCAGAACGCACACCTCTCCAACTCACAGTCTCTTGAGCTGGGAGAGGGTGCCAATGCCACTTGGGATGGTCCCTGTGAATGAGTTGCTGCGCAGTGCACTGGAGGGGGAGGGGGTGGGGTAAGGAGGGCGAGATCAGGGAGGGGTAGCGCACAGTTGGGGGATGGGGCAGAAAGATGCAGCACACTGAGTAGTGTAAGGCCAGTATGGGCAGGCAGTACACGCATTATCACTGTGGGTGTAGGCGTAGGCAGTGGTTGCAGTAATTCTGCAGTGCAGTTATATTCGTGTGCTTGAAACAGAGAGAAAAAGCGATGCCAAGAGAAGGCGGAAAGCAAATGACAGATGGCGTGCTACTTCATTCAGAGATGATAGGCTTGGGTGGGAGTGGGAACATGTGAGTGAGATACAGCATTTGGAAGATGCGTCATGGTCTTTATGAAGGTATGCATTCTTACTACTTGTACAGGACGAGACGAGGTTCCAGAAATACTCGTTGAAAGGGAAAATCAGGATAACGGAGGATGTATGCTTTCCTGAATGTGGTAAAAGCGTTGTTTACCTGTAAGGTAAATAAATGTATATACCCGTGGAGGAAATATTCATTTAAATATAAAGGAAAAAAACACTTCAAGTATTCGTACATGTTTGTGAGAGCCGTGAGCTCAGAGATGAAGTCTGGCAGGTCGACGTTCATCTTGCCAAACGCCATGGAGCTGCAACAGCAGGGATTGGAGTGGAAGGTGAGGGAGAAAAAAAGAAGTTCTCAAGTTGGGTCCGGAAAAGGAGGAGGTGGAAGAGGAGCAGAAGTGCCAAAAATGGCGGATGGGTGGAAGGAGCATAGAGATCAAAGTGACGTGTGAGATGTTTGCAGAGGTATTTGTAAGGTACTGTTTGCCTTCGTGCGCGCGCGCGCGCGCGTGTGTGTGTGTGTGTGTGTGTGTGCATAATAATACAAGAATTCGAGCTTCTTTAGGTTGGTGAAGCTCTCTGGGATGGTTCCATTAATCTTGTTGCCTGCCAGGTTCCTGCAACAAGCCACCAGGAAATAAATGCCATCAACCAAACTTGCCTTTGCCAAAGCAACCAGTTACAGCGTGACAATAGATAGATATAATATACCTAGGTGTATGTATGTATGTATATATTGAAGCAAGCAAACTATTGAAACAAACAGAAACCCGATCAGAGTATACGTTGAGGCACCATGTGATGAACGGCAATTTCTTTCGCAAGGTGAAAGTGAGAATGTTACAAAACCGAACCTTGAACCGTGCACAGGACCAAAACGGTGTGAGAAAGTTTGCATTTATAGACTTTCTTTTCAGTATCTAGATCAGATCCCTTTAATCTAGTTTCCCCCGGTTTCTCAGCTGTGCATGAGGTTCCAAAAATCACTTCCCACATCTCAGTACGTGCGGGCGCTCACAGGTATCTGAGGTTGAGGAGGTTGCCAAGGCCAGAGGGGATGGAGCCATTGATGGCTGTGTCGGCATCGGGTAATGGGTTCCACGCCACACTCCTGCACAAGTGGTCAAGGGGCAAGGTACAGTGACCGTGAATGAGAATTGCAGAGGGCTGGGGCACGGTTTTCACCCCACACACTTCCACAGGCTTTAAAGGGGCGTGATAAGGAGTCAAACAAAGCGAAATGGGGTAATGGTTCCACCCCATACTCCTATAGCTGCGCTGAAGGGGCGTGATAGGGTTATGGCACAGCATGGTGATGCATGGCATGGTATAGCATGGCATGGCATGGAATGGCATGGCAAGGCATAGCATGGTCCGGAAATGTATCGCATGGCATGGGTTGGTATTCCGTGGCATGGCAGGCAGGACATGGAATGGAGTAACTCACATGAATTCCAGGTCCGTGAGTGCCCCTATGGTTTCTCCAATTGGTCCCCAGAACTTGTTGTTGCTCATGTCACTGGAGGATGGATGTCCCAAGAAACAACACAACGCTATGATTTGCCAAGAAAAACATAAGAGAGCTTTGCCACATTACCGGACTTCGGAATACCACCCACAAGTTAAGTGCGTCGAACCTCTCTGTTTGTTTTTCTTTGAAAATGATGCAAGGGTTGCACACTCCCATCAATCGTTGCACCAACGGTCACAACCGTTTAACAAAGTGCACATTTTTCAATTTTGTAGAAAGCTTGCCAAACTTACAGCCACGTGAGCTTGGTGAGTGTGCTTATATAGGACGGGAAGGAGCAGTTCATACTGTTGACGTGCATGTCACTGCAGGCATGTCAGATCCAAGAACATGGAAAATAAGTCCTTTCAGGATTTCCAGATTGCACCACATCGCTATGACCAGGGCTGCGCACAAGGAGTTCCAGATTGCACCTGCATTGTGAAACCTGTGTGTGTGAAGAGAATCCAAAGCTCTAGAATAATATGGAAGTTGTTAACGGATGCTTGTATGGCAGCAAGGAAAGGAGTATGTGGAGGAGGTGAGGTGTCATCTCAAACGATTCTTAAGGCATTGTGAGTGAGTGGATTGGAGGGTGAGTCTACGAAGCGGTCAAGCACAAGAGGAAACGGGATAATGGAGTGAGTGACAGAGGAGGGGCGAATGATAGAGGCGGGGTGACGGACAAAGGAGTGGGTGACTGGCAGAGGAGGGATGACTGACAGAGCGACAAGGTTGGTGAGACTGCTGATTGCGGCAGGAAGAGTCCCGTTGATGAAGTTGACAGAGATGTTGCTGGGAGAGGCGGATTGAGGGCCGTGGGGTAGTAGGGGCCCGAGGGAAGCGAAAGAAAATGATTGTTGGGAAAAATGCAATCAGGAAGCCAGGATACAGGAATGTTGATGGAAAACTAGATGGGAAATTGCTGAGAGGACAAATGCGTAGAGGAGAAGGGACGGCATGGCAGGTTGTGTATCTGTAAGAATGAATAGGTGGTGGAGGTAAGCATCGTGGCAAATTGAAGGAGAATGTCGTAATGAACGGTGGTAAAAAAGGTAAGAAGATGACTGGCAACAGGATGCTGCTCACAGGTTGGTGAGGCTGATGAGATTGCCGATGCCAGCAGGCAGTGTCTGGTTCAACTGGTTGTTGGCGACATCCCTGTGAGAAAAGGACAAACATGGACCATTCAGAACAATGGAATTAACCATACTTGCTTGCGTGTTTGGTTCAGGTTGTTGTTTGCGACTTTCCAAGAGAGCAGTAAGTTAAATTTCAGGTACTTTGAGCATGCCTAAGCTGAACAGCCCAAGCCATGAAAGCAGATCCAATAGGTTTAACATTTCAAGAACTCGGCGATTAGAAAGCATCAACCATTCTGATAATACAGTTAAATCTGTTGCTTGGCTGCCTACAGGTGCTTGAGTGCCTACAGGTTTCTTCAATTTCTTTTTTTTTTTTTTCCATTGGATCAATTCTAGTTTGGAGAAAGAACATAGTCAGAAAAAAAAAAAAAAACAAAAAAACAAATACAATGGAAATGAAACCGGCCACGGAGAGAAGGCATGTGCGGTCTCGGTGGTAGGCTTGCCTGCAGGGGTAGTGCGTGTGGGTGCGTACAGAGAGATGAGGTTGGTGAGGATTCCCAAAGAGTCAGGGATGCTGCCGTTGATGGCGTTTCTGGCCAGATTTCTGGGCCGATGGGTGAGCGTGGTCAGGAGGGAGAGATGATATGGTGATAAGGATGGATGGTATTGTGGGAGGGATGGATGGTTGGAGTGATGAGTGGTGAAATGGCATGATGGGAAGGGTGAATGGGTACGGCGGGAGGGGAAGCATTTGATGAGTGAGTGGCATGCTGGGAGGGAGTGATGGGTATGATTGGAGGGAATAGTGGAGGGAATGGTGGAGGGGGTGATGAGCATGGTCGGGCACGGCTAGAGAGATCACAGAGCAGGTGCATGTGAAGTGATGGCTGGGTGGAAATGAACAGAGTGGAGCCATCCACACACAAGTCAGCATCTGTTAATTGGCAGGGGCTATGGTGGAGCAGTATGGGAAAGGAAGGGTGACATTTATTCAGGCAGAAGCATGTGATTGGCAGCAGAGGAGGGTGCGGTAGCAGCACTACAACTTGTGAGGGGCAGGCGGAGGGAGATAACGTTAATGCGGGTTTGCAAGGGAGCCGAGCTACTCAAATGTTTTCAAGACAGGCATGCACGAGCGGAGCGTTACTCACAGGCTTGTAAGAGCGGTGAGTTGGTCCAGCTCTTGAGGCAAAGTGCCGTTGAACGCATTGCTACTGATGTCACTGGAGATTAAGGGAGGAAGGATTAAGTAATTGAAAGGGTAAGGGGCACAGAGTTGAACAGTGAGTACTGAGGTCACCAGAGGGCGGAAGAAGGATGTGCAGGGACAGAAGGAGTGCTGTAATTAATGAGGGTGACAATTACAGCTGAAAAGAGTGAGATAGCAAGAAGAACTACTAAAGAGTTGGTGGGACCACCAAGGACACAAACTGGACAAAATGGTTGCTAGTTGAGTTAAGCACGTGAAGTGACAGACTTCAGTGGTACGGGTGCTGGGTTATGGTAAGTTGTGGCGAAGACAGGTGGGAGAGGGGGCACTGACAGGTGGGAGAGGAGGGCACTGACAGGTGGGAGAGGAGGGAGATTCTTCCAAGGCCTTCAGGCAGAGAGCCACTCAGCTGGTTGTTGCTCAGGTCACTGCGGATGGAAGAGGAGAGGGAGGGCCAGGTAGAAGGAAGGAGGGAGAAAGAGAGAGGTTGAGAGAGGCAGTTTGCATGGAAAGAGAGGGATTGAGAGATGCATAATGCATGGAGGGATGGGAACGTGGAGGCAGGCATGAAATGGAGGTGCAAGGCAAGGGTTCCTGGTAGAGTGGAGGCCGTTTGTTTTGTTTTGTTTCCAAAGCACAAAAGGGAATAAGAAGAAACACAAAATCCATACAGTGGGTGGGAATTACAAGGGAAGGGTACGAGGGCGGAGAGGCGCTTACAGGTGGAGAAGCTGCAGAAGGTCACCCAGCCCTCGAGAGAGAGTACCTTGGAAGGCGTTTTCACTGAGGTCGCTGTAGAAAGTGGGTGATACGGGTTCGAGGATTTGAAGTGGGTAGAATGTGTCTGATTGAGGAAAGCTGGCAAAATGGGTTCGAGGATTTGAAGGAGAGGATATGGGTTTGATTGAATGAAGTTGGTGAAAAGGGTTTGATTGAGGAAAGTGGGCAAAATGGGTTTGATTGAGGGAAGCGAGATAAATGGGTTTGATTGAGGAAAAGTGGGCAAAATCAGTTTGATTGAGGAAAGCGAGCAAAATGGGTCTGTTTGAGTCAAGCGGGCTAAATGCGTTTGATTGAGGAAAGGGGATGAATTCGGTTGCAATGAGACAAGCGGGTGAAATGGGTTTGATTGATGAAAGCGGGTGAAATGGGTGGTGGAGATTAATGACGGGGGGGCGGCTCTGACAGTTTAGTGAGCCTGGTGAGGTTGTAGAGGGAGGCGGGCATGGTGCCGTTCATGTCGTTGCTCTTCACATCCCTGCAGCAGTGCAAAGAAAAGGGCAGCAAGTGGTTTTGCATGCACTTGAGTGCATTGGTTGTTAATATCTTTGTTCTTCACATCTCAGCAGGCAACGCAGGGAGCAATGCAGAGGTCGGCATTGAGAGGCAGTGGTAGATGGTGGAAAGGGAGGCAGTGCAGACGGCGGCAGGAGGAGACAGTGCAAAGAGCAGCAAGTGGTTTTGCATCCATAAGATGACTTGTTATGGAGTGCTTTGTTTCCCAAGGCATGCAAGTAAAATTCTCTCATAAGAAGCACCCACAAGGAGGCATGCACAAGCGCACGGGGCAAAGGGGCACGCACAAGGGCACTGAGAAGTCAAGGAGGCACTGACAGACAGGTCAAGGAGGCATTGACAGGGAAAAGATTCACCGACAGGGCAAAGATGCACCGACAGGGCAAGGGGGCACCCACAAGGCAACGAGGTTGGTGAGCGTTCCCAGTAAGGCGGGGATGGTGCCGTTGAGCTGGTTGTATTGCAGCCACCTGGATGGGTTCCGATTCAGAGAGCACGTGTGTTTAAAGTGAACGCTTCATGCCATGTATGCATGCATGGGGGAAGAATCCTACCATAAGACCACGCAAATTACTTCCAGTATTGATCCTAGAGAGCTGGCGATGGTGCACGTGTGCATCAGGGAACGTTCTGGTGGGCATGGGAGGAACAAATTACATGGAGAACATGCATGTGTTCACGGGAGGAAACATTTACATGCGAGAGCATGCTAGCGGGCACGGGAGGAAGCACGTACATAGGAGAACATGCATGTGGGCACGGGAGGAAACATGTACATGGGAGAACATGCATGTGGGCACAGGAGGAAACATGTACATGGGAGAACATGCATGTAGGGACGGGAAGAAACATGTACATGGGAGAACATGGATGTGTGCACGGGAGGAAATGTACATGGGAGAACATGCATGTGGGAACAGGAGGAAACATGTACATGGGAGAACATGCATGTGGGCACGGGAGGAAACATGTGCATTGGAGAATATGCATGTACGCACGGGAGGAAACAAGTACATGGGAGAACATGCATGTGTGCATTGGAGGAAACATGTACATGGGAGAACATGCATGTGTGCATTGGAGGAAACATGTACATGGGAGAACATGCATGGGGGCCAATATGTGGATGTACGAGCATGGGCTTACAGCTCTGTGAGGTTGTGGAGGTTGGCCAAGGAGACTGGCACTGTGCCACTGAGCTGGTTGTAACTCAGCTCTCTGCCGTCAGGGACGCAGGTGATGAGAAACACAAGTAACGCGGAACAAAAATAATAAGCAACACACGTAATGGCCAACACACATACTGGGGAACAACTATATTGAAAAAGAAATGCAATCAGCAACACGCAAAACGAGCAACACACATAACGAGCAACACGCATAATGAACAGCACAAGTAATGAGCAACGCATGTAGTGAGCAGCACATGCAGGGAGAAGCATATGTCATGAGCAGCAACACACATGACGATCAACATACAAACACAAAGGGAAACCAAACTCACTTCAGTAGGCCACACTGACATCAGAAGGTCATGCTGATAGCAGGTCACAAACAAGACTGACAGGCCAAAGAGAGTGCCAAAGTTGGTGGGGATAAACCCCGTGAATAGATTATTTTTTTTTGCCAGCGTGCTGTCAGCATGCCACACTCACATTCGCTGCAGGTGTGAGAGAGTGCCAAAGCTGGTGGGGATGGAACCCTTGAGTTGGTTGAAGCCCATTGCTCTGTTGGGTTTGCAACAGAGGGAGGCAAGTCAAGAGGGGGAGGCAAAGGGGCAGGTCGAAAGGGGCAGGGCAAGAGAGGCAGGAAAAAAAAAAAAACAGTTTATCATGATGGTAGGAGTACAACAAAAAAAAATCAAACTGCAACCTGTGCGACTTTGAACAAAGAAGGTTCAACACATGCCCTCTGATTCTTCGTATCAGGAATGACACAACACACACACACACCAGACCATTCCATGTGAAGACGCAGGCGACAACTATTGTAGACTGGTCACTGGTACACTAAGTTTCCGCATTCCATTTTCTAAGAGCGCTGCGAGCTTGGGCATCTTTGAGGCGCCTTAGAAAACATCTATGTTACTGGACTGGTGAGATGAGAATGTCATTGGTTCGTGGTTTGAATCCCGTACATGCCTGTGAGAGCTGTGAACTCGGACATGCTTTTGAGGTGCATCAAATGTGGAAGCAAGTGAGTGAGCAATTCACTTGTGCTGCTAAATTTTTTCTTCTTCTTACATGTGTGTGAGCGCTGTGAGCTCGGAAAGAAAGTCTGGCAATTCTGAGTTCAACTTGTTGAACGCCACAGAGCTGTGAGTGGGCATCCAGGGAAGAAAAGGGGCAATGTGAGTGCATGAGTGGGTGATGTGCACAGAGGAACGGATGCAATGTAACCGTGGTAAAGCAGCAAAATACAGCAAAAGGGGCAAATGGAGCAGCTTCTCAATATTTTTAGGCACAAACACATTATCTGTGCTGGATGTGTTGGAGCAGAAGACACACTGGAAGTCAGTTTAGAGGGTACAGTGCGTCACATCAGCGGCTACAAATGAACACAGCCAACATGCGACGGGAGGGAGAGTGATAAAAGACATCGGAATTCAAAGAATTACAAGAATTCGAGCTTCTTCAGCTTGGTGATGGTCTCGGGAATGCTGCCGTTGATCTTATTGCCACCCAAATTCCTGCTCGGGAGGAAGTGAGGGCAGCAACGCAAGGAGGCTTTTGAAATGTCTGGCAAGTGGGGCAGAGGGAAATTGGTGGAGTGCAGGGGGCCAAAGAAGTTGGCAGAGGGCAATGGGTGGGTATCGGGCAGAGGGTAGGGGCCAGAGGGCATTGGGTGGGCAGCAGGCAGAGAGCAGAGCAGTGGGCAGGAACCGGCAAAGGCTACACATCCGGGTAAACCGGTCAATTATTTTGCGCCTTTTAAACACAGGCAGTATACACTGCTTATAATCATACATTCTGTGGTGGATGAAGTGCGATTTCGACTCAGTTTGATTTCATAAACACAGAAATGAACATGGGGCAGAAGCTCATATAAAATCACCCCAAAGATGATCGCATTTTAGAATACTTTCATATAGAGAGAGATGTTGCTATAGTTTTGTTTGTGCGCTCAAATGAACTTGAGATTGAGGAGGTTGTGTGAGCGCTCACAGGTATCTGAGGTTGAGGAGGTTGCCAATGCTGGAGGGGATGGATCCATTGATGGCTGTGGGGGCATCAGGGTACGGGTTCCATGCCACGCTCCTGCAATGGGATGCGAGTAAAGTAAAGTGCACAGCCTAAGATCATGATAGAGGATCAGGGCACGGGCTCGACACTACACTCCTGCAGTGACAGTGAAGAAGCACAGTGAGTGTTCAAACAGAGACGATTGGTGTACAGGTGGCATGGCAATGGTGTATGGTTTGCCAAGTACAGCATGACACCGTGGCATGGGGTAGCTCACATGAATTCGAGGTTAGTGAGTGCGCCAATGGTCTCTCCAATGGGACCCCAGAACTTGTTGTCACTCATGTCACTAGCGGGGTTGAAGGGGGCAAGGAAGCACACAGGTAAGGCTGTGAAATGTGGATGCAATACGGAAGTGAGCTTTTTCAAAAACACAGGCAGCGTTGCAGCCATGGAGTGTCCACAGATAACATTTCAACACAAGTCTTATAAGCATAGCTGGGGCTTTATCAAACTAACAAAGCAGTTAGGGCGTCATTCTCGCACAATCATCTTAGCCACCAAACTGACAGAAAAGCCTTGGGTGTAGAGATAGATTGCTGGTCTTACAGCCATGTGAGTTTGGTGAGTGTGCTGATGTGAGGAGGGAAGGAGCAGTTCATGCTGTTGAAATGAACGTCACTGCGGCCATCACAGGTTTGAGAGCAGGGGTATTAGTGAGCACTGCAATGTGTACTTGAATCATACATTCATCATAAACCTTCAAATTATTCAGTCTTGAAAGATGAGAGAATATAGCAGCAGAAAGCCGAGATTAGAAATGCACGGATAATGCCGTAAACACTGAGACAGCTAGAAACTGAATGTTACTGAAGGCATTGTGGATCATCCAGATACAGTCAAGTGATTGAAGGTGATGGGGGGAGGGGAATGACTGACAGAGCAACAAGGTTGGTGAGAGTGCTGATGGCAACAGGGAAAGTGCCATTGATGAAGTTCATGGATAAGTTGCTGGGACAACCAAATGGGAGGGGCGTAGGGTGGGTGCAAACAGAAAGAAAGAGGGCTGTCGTGACTCTTGAATCGACTTAGATGGCATCAGGGAGAGTGACGTTGATGAAGCTTATGGAGATGTTGCTGGAGGAACCAAAATGATTATTGATAAGGCAGTAAGAATGCAGGTGAATGTGATGTGACATGATGTGATGTGGTGTGATGTGATATGGTGTGATGTGACGTGATGTGATGTGATGTGACGAGATGCAATGAGATGCGATGCGATGTGATGTGATGTGATGTGATGTGATGTGATGTGATGTGATGTGATGTGATGTGATGTGATGTGATGCGTTGTAGCGTGATGCGATGCCATGCGATGCAATGCGATGTGATGTGATGTGACGTTGATGAAGCTGATGGACATGTGTCTTGGAGGCAACTTCGTAGGCAGTCGCAAGCAGGTGAAATTGCTAGAATGTTATTTGTCGGGCGTGGGGTAGAAATGAAGGGTTGCATGCACAAATAACTTTGTGCTGCCACTCACACCCAACTGTGGAGTGTTGATGAGATGGGCTTAGACTACTTTACACTCAATGGAAGCTAAATTATCGGGAGAACTGCAGAGGTGAGATGAGAAGGCGAGAAAGGGCGTGAAAACTGTTTATCCTCATGTGCTGCCACTCACAGGTTGGTGAGGCTGATGAGATTGCTGATGCTGGCAGGGAGTGTTTGGTTCAGCTGGTTGTTGGCGACTTGCCTGCAAGCGAAGAGAATGATAAACGAGAGACAATGGCATCGGCCATTTTCTCCTCTGAAAGAAGGCACTGGAGCATGAGTAGGAATGATGAATGTGGGAAGTTTCACTTCCAGGATTATCAAAGGAGAGCATGAAGAATGTCACCTGATGCTTGTTAAATGCGGCCAAAGGGTTGCTCGAGTGCCTACAAGTGCTTGAGCTTCTACAGGTGCTTGGGTGCCTACAGGTGCTTGAGTGCTTACAGGTACTCGAGTGCCTACAGGTGCTTGAGTGCGGAGAGTCGGCTGAAGGAGTCCGGGAGCGACCCATTGAGACCATTGTAGCTGACGTCACTGATGGTGGGCATTAAAGGAAAGGAAAACACCAAGCAGGATAAACCCTATTTTTGTGACCTACAGCAGTGATATGTCCGTACCTATTGCATGAAGAATGCATGAGAACCCTAAGGACGAGAGAGGGTGCTTTGAGGATCCTAAATGTGTTGAAGCCATGAAAACGAGGAGGTAAGTGAGAGATGTAATGCTATGCCAAGACTGGATGACAAGGCAATGAGGCAATAAGGCGAATTTCAAAAGGAGCTGTGGAAGACTCACTACTGAAGGAGCTGTGGAAGACTTACAAGTAAAGGGGCTGTGGAAGACTCCCAAGTAAAATCGTTGGCAAAGACTCACAACAAATGAGGTGCGGAAGACTCACAAGTAAAGGAGGTGGGCGAAGTCACCAAAGGACGACGGAATGGATCCATTGAGCAGATTCATTGTGAAGTTCCTGCATGGGACGTTAGGAGGGGGCGCATGGATAGACTTAGAGGACGATGGTTGGTGTAAAAATAATTGAAGTTACACTGGTAAATCAACACCACATCCTCACTCATCCTATGAAACTGAAAAGGCTCCAAATTTTGTCTGATATTTCTGCGTGCAAAATTTTACAAGCTACATTCCTTTAGAGGCAGCAACTGCGTAGAAATATCACTAGAGTTTACAGAAACACAAGAACAAAACTATAAAATGGCGTGGTGTTGTGGTGAAATGACATGGTGCATTGAAAACGGAACACAGGGTGACAGGTTGCGTACAGAGAGATGAGGTTGGTGAGGTTTCCTAAAGAGTCAGGGATGCTGCCGTTGATGGCGTTTCTGGCCAGGTTTCTGGAGGTTTGGCGTGGTTTGTGGGAGTGTTGAGTGGTGGCATAGAATGGCAGGATGGAAGGATGAGTAATGTAGGAGGAAGTGATGGGTATGGTGGAAGGGAGTAATGGGTATGATGGGAGGGATGGATGCGGCACGATTGGTGGGATGGGTTGAGGGAATGATGAGCATGGTGGGGTGTGTTGGATCAGGTGCGTGTGAAGTGATGGGTGCGTGGAAATTATCAGGCTATCAACACAGAAAAGTGTCTGTATGGGCTCCATGTGGATAGATGGATAGATGGAGCGCAGAGAGTACTGGTAGAGTGGAGAGGGATGAGAGGAAGGACGGCTGGGAAGGGCTCTAGCAAACGCATGTGATTAGAGCTTGCACTACAACTGCACTGCAACTCTCTCCTGCTGTGGCTGCAACTGCACCTGCTGCTGCGGCCGGGACTCCTGCTCTCCAATTTCACAAGAGCACTAAGTTACTCACATGTTTGTGAGACGAGACAGGATCATAGTATCATAGAACTACTCAGCTGTACTAATAAAGGAAGCTTCAATTGATAGGAACATTCGGAGGTTAGTAAGAAAGCTGCACACATGTGCTTAAGAGCAGTGTGTTACTCACAAGCTTGTAAGAGCAGTGAGTTTGTCCAGTCCCTCAGGCAGAGTGCCATTGAACGCGTTGCCACTGACGTCACTGGAGAGCAAGAGAGTGGTGGGGGGAGGAAGAATCAGGATTAGAGACTGAGGGGTACAGAATCTAACAGCAAATACTGAGGTCACCAGAGGGCGAAAGTTAGCAAGGACAGGGAATGTCAAACAGATTTGGAAGGCCAAAAGGAAAGCTGTACTGGGGGAGGGCGAAAAGAACTGAAAGGATTGAAATTTGCAAAAAGAGATACTAAACGGATAGCAGTGAGTGAATCAGTGGTACGGGTGCTGGGTTATGGTTATCATGATGATGACGGGTAGAAAATCACTGACAGGTGGGAGAGGAGAGAGATTCTCCCAAGGCCTTCAGGCAGAGAGCCGGTCAGCTGGTTGTTGCTCAGGTCGCTGCGAATGGAAGAGGAGAGAAAGAGGTCGTGAGGAAAGGTGTGTGTAGAGAGACAAGAGAGGGATGGGGAGACGCAGTATGCGTTTGAGGAGGGATGGGGAGGGATGGGGAGGGATGGGAATCTGGAGGGAGGCGTGAGAGGTAGGTGCAAGGAGAAGGGTCATGGTACAGTGGTTGTTGTTTTAACTGTTCCTTTTTTTTTTGTCAAATTCGTAACTTTACTTTGCTAGAATGGAGTGTGCAGGGCCTCAAACCAAACTAGCAGGAAATTGGAGTAACACAGAGTCCATTGAGTAAGAGTTACATGGGAAGAAGGGTAGGAGAATGGAAAGGCGCTTACAGGTGGAGAAGCTGCAGAAGGTCGCCCAGCCCTCGAGAAAGAGTACCTTGGAAGGCGTTGGCACTAAGGTCACTGTGGAAAGCGGGTGACATACTTTATGTGTGTGGCACTGGCATATGACATGTGTGCGGCATTGGCGGATGGCACGTGTTTGGCGCTGGCAGATGGAATGTGTGTGGCACTGGCAAATGGAATGTGTGTGGCACTGGCAGATGGA